GGAACAAAAAAAATTATCATATAATTGTACTTATTTTGCAAAAACGTAGAAAAAACGTTTGTTTAACGAAAAATCACTATTGAATGTATATATGTTATATTAATTTAAGAAAAAATAACAATATAATATGTTAAAATTTTAAAGATTCCAATATTCAAAGGAATTTCATTATACATGATTAAGAAAAAAATTTGATACTTGAAATATCTCTAATTAAAAATTTATATTTTAAAAATGAAACAAGATTCAAATCAAATTTGATATTTGATATTTGTATTTCAAAATTTTTTGAAAATAAAAATTTATTATTCGAAATTGAAATTGAACCCAAAGAATCAAACTTGATATGCATTTATAATTTTGTGAGAATGTTGGAAATTCGATATGTTAAATTCAGTTTCAATAATTAAAGATAAATTTGAAATTTGTAATTAGATATTTTATTTAGTTTATAAAACTTTAATATAAAATTCAACGAGTCACAAATTGAAGGTAGATATTGCCATTCTTTAACGAAGGAAGTTTTAAATGAGTCGAACATCGAATCGACTTCAAAGGTACGTATACTTTAGCGAGTTCAAACATTACGAAGTTCCAAGTTCTAATTCGCGTAGAGTTCGTTAGTTTACCAAGTTCTGGCGAGTCCTTTAACAGATCCCTAACTTGTTCACTTTGACGTACCAATTTGTTGTAATCGCAACGTTAACCATCATGTCTGAACTAATATTTTCATTCAAGAATATATTCCTAGAACTTTAAAATTCTTTCCTTCTTGAAAAATGAATACGAGTAAATAAAACTATTTCCAAAATATTGTTCCATTGATTGTTGCCATCATTATCTAATTAATTAAAAATAGCAAATAGAAAAAATAAATCCAATTTATTTAGTGATGACGATTTTATTAAAAAGCAAAATAAAATAATTATTTCTTATTTATTTAAGAAAAATAATGCGAATAAAATAAGAAAACGTATATAATAATGATGGATTCAAATACAAAATGGACAATATAATATATTTTTTACCAATTTCTCAATTAATTTATAAACTGCAAAATTTATTAAATATAATTGATTTAAACATTATCCTAGTTTAAATGAAAATTAATATACTTAATTATATTTCTTTTTCCAAAAATACCTAAATATCTTTTGTATAATTACAAGATCTTCAAAATGAAGCATATAAATCCAAAATGGTGGCAAATTCAAATCGGTTTTCCACGTACCATCAACCCTTTAAATCACCAAACGTTTAACCAAACGATACGCGAACGATAAAAAGCAGAACATTTCACATCCAACGATACTTCACTTCAGCTTGTAAAATCGAAACGCAAAAAGTGTCATCGTAACAAAAGGGAAAGAATCTTCTTCATTAACCTTCTTCAGAATGGAGGATCAGCGCCATAATTACACGATTAATTAACCATCATCGACTCGGGCAAAGAGGTCTCTGCCTCTTCTTTTAACAGTTTTTCTTCGCTCGTTCTCTCTTCAGAGAGAAGTACATTCTCTTAAGTGACGAAAGAACGCGCGTTGCTTTAACCGATATTCACGATATCGAGAACGATACTCGAGATGTGAGCCGAAAGAAAAGTCCTCGAAACCCTTTGCCAGCGCTGATACCATCCTTGGAACGCGAAATTCACGTGTAGTATGCACATATAGTTATATCATTCTTCTTACGATCTAAACACATATATATAATATATATCGATTCTCAAGAAGGAACGGGTGAATGGCGTAATTTTGTTGGCTAATATTTGGCTACTATGCAACATTTTTTCGTGCATATAATATAGAATAAAAATAGTAGATAGAAATTTTATAAAAGTAAATGCAAAATAATAGATATAAATAAATTTGAAAAAATACATCGAGATATTTTAACTCGATGATTTTTTATTATAAGTATTTTAATATTTTTGTACAAGGAATGATTAGCTGTTAGTCTATTAAAAAATATATAATTCTATTTTAAAAAATAAACTTGAAAAAATAAATGTCCTTTATGTGTTTAATCAGAAAATATATATATCTGTAGTCTCTGAAAACACTCAACTTTTATCTAAAACATTTTCTAATATTATCATATTTTGATATTTAATAATTTTGAATGAAACGATTTAAATTATAACATCCTTTATATTTGATGTAAAAAATTTTCATCCATAATAATAAGAGAATTTATTTTAATATAAATATAAATTTTACATTACAGATTTTCATAATATAAATAAAATGGACAAATTAAGTAATGGATAATTTTGAGATTTGATCTTAAATTCGATATTTATATATGTTTTTTACATATAGAGTGTAATTGTGGATGGTAAAAATTATCCTTTAGAGATTCTAAAATTTTGTTCATCGAGCGTTAAGAATTTTAATCTTTCAACGTTACTGATAAATTTTCATTGTGCAAACCGCTCGATTTCGTAATATGCCTTCGGTGTTCGTTCGAGAAAACTCGAACAATACTTCAGTTTAAACTGCACTGCGTGCTCTGAAATCGCACGGTGGACGACTGGATGCGCCGCGATTTATCGTAGCATCGGGATCGTTTTCAGAATACCGATGAGTTTGTGACGGTTCTTCTTGCCACCGTATGGTATCCACACCAACAGAATTCTCGAAAATCCTCGCCCATACAAATACACCCTCTGTCCCCTCCTCCATCTGTGTGTTTAAAGCTAGGGTTACTAGCGTTAAGATAAAGTTTAGTCATTTATACGATAAATAGACTTTGAATATTTAATTGCAAATTTAACATTTCATAAATTATAATTACAGAAATAAAATTGAAATATTCTGTTCTTTGTAGTTATATATTTTTACTTATCATATATATTCTCTGAAATTTTTAAATATTTAAATTTTTGTGTTATTTTTTTAATGATAAAACTAAGATTAAACTTAGATTAGTTTAATTAGATCAACTAAGATCAATTAAAACTTAGATTATTTTAATTATTTTAATTTATTAGAACATAAGAGTACAATAATATGAAAAATTGTTCTATACATTCGATGAGAAATTCTTTGTAGATTCAAAGTTTTTACAGATTCGAATGAAATTTGGATAATCAATTAATTATAAAAAAATATCCGTTAAATTTAGAAAATTAATTCTTAAAAAATACATACTTAAATAATAGAAATTTTTTTTAAAAAAGAAGTACACTGGAACTTAATTATTAAATTAATAATGAACATTCATTAAATAATAATAATACCAATAATAAACATAAAAAAACATCGAAATTCCTAGTGTACAAAAAAATTCTAAAAAATTCTAAAAAAATAAGTTTTTAAAAATCGTAATTTATTTTTTAAAGGATTCGTGAAATCAAACGTAAATAAAAAATAATTAGAAAATAATCGTAATAAATTAAACTGTGCCTCCCGAAATTCAAGTGATATTCGACTTGGGCCACGAGTTTGGATCGTGCTGTTCGCCGGTGTGAATCGGTTCGGTGTTCTCGCTTCAACGAGCGAAATCGATCGTTTCAAATTCGTCGCGCTAATTCGTCAGTTAATGAAACCAGCGTCCACTTTCGGAATCAATCAGCCTCGGTGGGGGGTCACAGGCGTGGCGAGAATTAACGCCGCCCGGAATTACAGTGGAATTAAATGAAGATTAATTTTCGTTTGAACGCGACCTTCTGTCTGATCGAGGCCCAATCATAGCGGCTGTTTTAGACCCTTAATTGAGGTGGCTCGATGCAAATATGGATGGAACTCGTTTGACAGCATTAAAAAGAAAATACACCTTTGGGCTTAACATTTGAAACGATCGAAACTCTTTTTTGTTCGAATACAGAAGATAGAAATGTGTATATTTCGAGATGTTTTGTTTTTCTATTTCTTTTTTATTAAATAATTTTTATAATGTGTATAACTTTGGAAAAGTTGAAACTTTTATTATTATTTGATATTTATAAATCAATTGATTTTATTTAGAAGTATGATTGATATTATAACGATAAGTATAATTATATTCATACGATGATGTATTATGTTTGATTGGTAAATGGTATTTTATTTTATCACGACATAGTTTGACGTTGCAAGTGTCTCGTGTCTGATCAATTATACTCTTATTCTACTTGAATTCTATACGCTCAAAAAAAAAAAATTACGTGTATTTCAAACTTGAAAAATAGTAATCATAATCAAAATATAACGTTTAATTTATCTCATCCTTCATTTCTAACCGAGGTTTCCTTTATCATAGAAGTATTTCAATTAATTCAAGAAAGAATCCAATAAAACAGAGAAGAGGGGAATAAAACTGTATAATCGTAGTTGTTACAATGACAATAATTGATCGAGAAGATCGGAATTGAATATTTAATTTCATGGTAATCGTATCTTTAAAAGCGCTTAAAATGCTTCAAAGCTTGAAGGGAGGAAAGGATCCTTGAGTCGCGAGATGTTTTTCATTAATTGTCGAAGCACAGGTGTGAAAAGAATCCTTCATTCTTCTCTTTGAACTTTGTTAGGCGAAATATCCCTTTGTGATACAAAATTGATCGTAATGAATGATTGTAAAAGAATCTTGTTCCACCACTTTAATTAACATAGTTGAGTCGAAAAGCTATTATTATATATCAACTAGATATATAATTAAAACAATCGATGCTGGAGTAATAATTTTACGAGGATGAATAATAATGTTACAAAAATTTATTTTCTAGATAATAATATTCAAATAATTCTCATTTAATAATCTCATTTTCGTTTAATCTTTTCGTTTAAAAATTTAAAAGAAAACTTATAAGAATCCTTATACATATTCCTTAAATTATATCTCTAATTATTTTAGAAAATAATTAATACCAAAAAAGAAAAGTATTGGTTAGCATATTACAGAAATATCAATTTAATATTTTTAATGTTCTTATGATTGAACGAAATTCAATTATTTAATTCGATAAAAATTCTATGTAAATGAAAAATTAATAGACGTTATTTATTTTTCCATTGTTTTAGCAACAGCAACAGCAAGCACAACAACAAGCACAGCAACAGCAACAGCAGCAACCGCAACAACAGCATCAGCAACAACAGCCGCAGGCCAATTCGCCAGGAGGTGGAAATGTGGGGAAAAGCAGCCCATCGCCGGGAAATTCGGCATCCCCTGGCACTGTGACAGCGTCCAACAAGTCGCAGACCGAACCGAAACCGGTCGAGTGCAATTTGTGCCATCGAAAATTCAAAAATATACCGGCACTCAATGGCCACATGAGACTCCATGGCGGTTACTTCAAAAAGGTAAGCTAATTAAGCTTTCCCAATATTTGTTTTTCTATAATTATATTATAAAGAGTGTTATCATATCAAAGAAAATATTCCAATAAAATTGAAAATTTTTTTAATTGTTTTTATATCATTTTTAAATCATTATTTAGTTAATTTTGACGATTGATAATTACATACCTAAATAAATTTATCGTTATTATATTCTGAATAAAATCATTAATATAAATTACAATATTGAAGGATAGAAAAATTTTAAATAGTTTGTCTGCAAAAGCAACAGAAAGATATTCAATCATATCGTTTATTTGACATTTTACAAAATAATTTCTTTTTTAATTCAATTTTTTCAAATAAACAATAGCAATTTATCCAAAAATTATGTGAAAAATATTATATAATAATTTAATAATATTAGTTTAATATAGTTTAATATCTAATTATGTTTTAACCGCATAAAAATCCACAATTTACTTGTAAGATTAGAATTGAATTTGGTTATTTATTAAAAAATAATTTTGCTCTTTTTTCTACTTAGTATTATGATTTACTTATAAATTGATTTAAATCTAATTAAATCTTCTTTTAATCAAACCAAATTATATAATAAATATTCTATCATATAGATAGATATTTTACACATCTTTTAACATTTAAATTTCTTCTAGAAAACATAAAATATAATTTACTTACTTAAATAATCATTCTTCAAGAATTATTATTCTTTCAAAGAACCGTGAAAATTCATTTTTTATCGTTACCCTCATGAAACGAGAGAAAGAAGAATACGGTAAAGATAAAGTCATTCAGAGAATCGTTAATTCTAGTCTTGCATTTGTTTCGCTTGCTTCATCAATTCTCCTCGAGACGGTCTCGAGATGAAAATTATACGGAATCCGGCTTTGCTTACCTCTTTCACGAACCGCGTTTCATCCCCACGGGGAGGGGGAAGGGGATTGAATTTTCAAGAAGAATTTCATGAAGTTTACCAAAGGCTACGGGGAACGTGCAAGGTTCACCGACATTACCATATGAATTCGCAATCCCAGAAACTCGCGCGGAGAGCTTCTTGTAATCAGTTGGTGATTTCATGGAAATCTCGCCGACCGAAATGCAATCAACCGGTGATTTTCGTGAAAATCTCGACCGGTTACGTTATACGCTCTTTTCTTCCCCGTGCATGAGACGATAATAATCATTGGGGATGAAAAAAAAGTATCTCTCATTTTCAAGAAGAGAATTTTCATTTTCAAGAAGTAGAATTTTTATTAATTATAACAGTATATCTCCCCGAATTGCGATCAAATATGCTAATAGTATCGAATTTATATTTAATTTTCGAAAATGATCGATCGAGGAGGAAGATAATAAACTTAAAATTTCGAAAAATGTTCCATTGTATCGATTTTATTTCCCTTTTATCCGCGTATTAATATGGTAATTAAATTTACCATATATGCGACGAGTTAATTTCTTATAAATATCGAAGAAAATTACTTTCTATTATTATTTGAAAGAGTATTTGAATTAAATTTTGTTTTTTTTTTCGAAGAAGAGAAGAGTTAGTAAAAAAAATATAATAATTTTAATTTTAAAGACTATACTTTTGAAATTCTCGTTCTCGTTTTAATTGCAAAATCATTTTTTATGGTATTTCATAATCTCAATGGGATTATGAATAATAAATATTTAAACGGCGAACGTTTTGATCCACGCTCTAACCCGCCCGCACTCTTTATCGAGAACAATGAATATTTCCATGTTAAATCTCATCTCTATCGAAACGGAGAAGAGAAAAACTTGGTCCCTTTTCCTATAAATGACACGCCGTTCGTTAAGACATTTTTAATCAACGAGGAGAAAGGCGACGAATCAAAGAGAAGGAAGGAAGGAAGAAACCGAGAGAATTGCTGATCTTTCTATTCCAACGACTGCAACCTGCCTGCCTCTTTCTTGACCTTATTAAGAACCTTTCTCTGTTCGGATTCTCTCCTCCAGAGGATAGAAAGAAAGGAGAAAGAAAAACATGGAATCGAGCAGTCCTCTCTTGAAGATTTCATTCCTGATTCTCTCTCTTTCTTTTTCCTATCTCTGTGCGATTATCTCTCGCAGATGGATCGTGAAACGAAGAAAGAAGGTTTCAAATGGCAAATTTGTACGAGGAATAGCGAAAATTATATAAATTTTCTTTTTTCCTTTTCTTTTAGTAAGAGTTACAATTATACATTTTTCAAAAAATGGATTATGGAATTTTTAAATTTAGATTTTAAAGTTTTTCTCTTTTTCGCAAAAATTGATATAAAGTTAATTTAAATCTGTTTTATATTCCTACGTGATTTAAGAACTATGTGACTAAATTAATTCAGATAATGAAAATACGAGAAAGTAAAGATAATTTAGAAAAATGTCGAACGAAAATGGAAAGGTAATTCGAATCGACCAGTTATCAGTGCTAAATTTTATCTGAATTTATCTGAATTTTATGCAAAAGAATTCAAACTATATATTTCATTTGTCACAAAAGCTGAGAAAAATTTGAAATAAATTCAAAATAGACATTAACAAATTAAAATATTATCCGTAATCAAATATTTTAACATTTAAATCACTAACAAACTAAATAAAACAGTTTACGTTAACGTTACCTTCTATTTCAAAATAACATTTGTACGTGCTTTAAATTTAAAAAGATTACATTTTTAGAAATGTATTATTTTAGAATGTTCTGCATGCGCACACTGAATACATTATGCCCAAGTTTCACGACTTTCTATTTTTGTTCCTTGCACAGAGGAAACACTGCCCAAGAAAAGATCGAGAACGAACATGTAATAAATAATAAAACAAAGAGACTGTACAATAAAAAATCCCTTCTATATATCCTTCTAACTAACTTCGCTCGTCACACACCGTCTCTCTAATCATCGACCGCATTCCACGACTCCGCACACTCTCCCCTCTCCTCCCCTCCCCCAAAAAAGGCTATCCTACAAGCTTAGACACCGAGCAAACGAGCAAAGATCGAACGAGAATAAAACGAGGGAAGATGGAAGGATGGAGGGTAAGGCGATGATCGAATCCAAATGAACCCATTAACAGGCTCTTTGCTTCCACGATGGCGGGTGGAAAGATTGGGGAGGCAGCACGGTCGGGGGAGGAGGGTTGTGCAAACATTGTCTCGAGCTTTCTCCATTATGTAGATTGAATCTGAACCGGTTACCGTCGGGGGTTTTCAACGCGGGCTCTGCTCTCGTTTCAAGCTGCACCCGAGTTTTCAACTCGCCACAACTCTCTCCCCGTTTCACCCTCCCTCCTCTGCGTGTATGCACGCGCCCAATCCACGCCAGCATCCATCCTTCTCGTCCATCGTCCACGCGCCCGCCTCCGGATCCATTCATTTTGATCTGTGTATACATACATTCATATTCATGCCCACCTTTATGCGCGCCGTGTTCACGATCGAGCGTCACAGGTCCACCTCGACGCTTCCACGGGGTGAGCGTTCACGGGCGAGGGGGAGGGAGGGAGAGGCGTGAGTGCAGTTAGATGTATTTGTACCGGCCACGTGAATGTTCGCGTGCACTGCTCCCCCGTTTAATGGGTTGCCATGTGTGAGCACCATGGGTGAAGGTGTTCTTGGATTGGCGTAAATGGATCGTCGAATTGTTTTATAAGAACACTAAGTTTCGTTGAATTTATTGTAGGATAATTATGTATATGATACGGTGATGTCTTTGGTGTTGTGATTATTTTTTATTTTCTTTTTTGGTGCGATAAATGCAATAAATATGGAGGAAGTATATTTTGTCGTTACTTTCGTCACAATTTTCTTCGTGAGGATTTAAAGTAATATGATAATAAAGTGGAAAAATATAAATAACTTTTTGGATAATGGAACATATAGGTACAAGCTATTAAATAACATTGAGAGTTATTTTGTGTAACAGAAGTGTTTTTTATTCAAATTTCCATCGCAAATGGAAACGGTAACAACTCTGTTGAAATTGGGAAAATTTTAAATAACTTTGAAAATAATAATCTTCGATCAATAAAACTAGAAACTCGTTAGAACTAGCACTTCCTCATTTATCGTGATACAACTTCTGGCTCTTGAGTTCGTGTAAAGAAAGGAAGAAATTTCGATTTATTATCTCCGTTCTCGAATCTCTTGCGTCATTAATTCCAAGAATAATGATAGATAAGATTCTCAGAAAAAAAATATAAATTAGATCGTGGATTCATCTCTGCACTAAATCTTGAACGATTATCTCGAATCTTTTTCGACGATTGATGACAAAGAATTATTTTCTCTTATAAAATGTTATCTTAATACTTCATATTGTATTAATCTCATCATATTAAATCATAGAAGATAAACTATTATCCAATGTAATAATTTTTATTTGAAATAAAAAAAAAAAAAAAGGCTCAAGAATATTTCCAATAATCAAAAACGCAATTTTTTGTTCATTCTTCATTTTCGTTTCAAATCATCCCTTAATTTTTCAAACATCTTTATCCAAACGTTCCACGTTATAATCATCCTATTCCTCTTCATCTTTTTCACAAATCGGAACAATCAGATTTCAATTCAAATCATATACCCGATCATATCGAATACAGATTCGAGATCGGCCATCGATGCTTTCGAAGCAACGAGAACAGGACGACGACTATTATCGAGAATTATTAAGCAGTTTCGATGGTTTTTCATTTCACGTGAATCCGGATCGAAGGCGCGCTCCATTCGAGAATGGTATCCGGATGCATTTCCTCCGTGGAAAATCGTGGGGAATATGTGTGTGGCTAACGGTAGCATCCGAAATCCTCCGCGTGGAAATTGTCGGGCGAAGAGCGGTTTAAAGTTTTGTCGAGCGGACATCGTGAACGGGATTAAAGGATTCACGGGGGACTTTTAAGTAATACAAGAGTACTCGGCGGGCTGGCTCCACCCACGGTTGAATATTTTTCGCCCGTTTGCAGGCTACGATGCATCCCTGGCCGTAATCCTCGAA